TGTTGCTCCGTCCTGCTGGACTCACATGTTTTGCAGGTTGAGTTGTTGAATTTGAGGAGCCACAAAGTTTTGCACCATATCACGGTAGCGCTCGCAGGGAGCGTCTTCAAAGAAGTAAGGTCTAATGACACCTCTATACCAAACATCGCACCAAAGTGTGACTCGACGAGAATGTAGTGGTCGTTGATGGATGACACGAGGGTTCTCTAAAGCCCATATACGACAAATCTGTTCATATCGAAGTGGGCTTCATCGCTCATTATCAGTTGTCAGTAAAAATCGTTATTTTGGGTATTAAGCTGCAATATTGCATGACTGTATTGTCGGCGACTTTCGTGGTCACTAGGCTGCAGTTCTTGGGTTAACCGAATTTTGTATGGCCGCAAATGCAAGTCTTTTTTTAACATAGTGCATAATGACGTACGACGAATACCCAGATCTTGAGAACGATGTCTGGTAGACGTCTCGAGGCGCTCCACTACACTTTGACGAACTCTCTCGATATTTTCCGGAGTACGAACTGTTTCAACACGGCCCGACCTTGACAAGTCTTTAACTTCATATGTTTGTTCAACTGTTGTTGACACTGGGCACATTATGTCGACCGAAATCTTGTCGTAGCTTCCGAATCGTTGCAACAGTCAACTCATTATTTAAGTAAAACATTTTAACAATACGGACGCGTTGTGGAATCGTGTAGCAGTTCCATGATGAATTGACATATGTGCCATAAACAACTACCTCGGACCACCTACTGAAATAAAATGGAGCTCAATTTAAATCAGTCAGTTATATATTGGCCACCCTGTACAAGCACTTGCACGCGTAGCTGCTATCTTTTCATTCTAGATCCTCGTTCCCTTCGAGTCGCTACTTTATATGAGAATATGTGTGGCTGTAAATTTGGCAGTTTTATCTGATTTTCAGTATAGACATCAAAAATCTACATTATTTTTTTGAAATGATTCACATCTACATAATTGGTCAATTAGTGTATTTATTTCATAGTTTGCGTTTAAAATGATGTAGCTCAAAACGCCGATTCCTATTTCAATATATGAACATAACTATTAAACATAAAAATCTGTGAAATTCATAGTCATCCGTACCTAAACCGTTACTTCATACAGTATGTTTCGACAGTTTTTTTTCTCTAAATAATAATGATTTGGTAATACACAGATTCTCCGATTATTAGTATGTTTGCAGGAGTACTCTTAATACCGTCAAGTTATTATTTCATGGTGTATACATATGACTAAAAACAATGTTTTTAATTTTTGTCAAAAAATGCATGTTTGTGCATTTTTTTCAATCGTAATGTGTTATCAAAGAATAGGTACAGCTCTGAAATTGTATGGGAATGTTCCACTTTTATAGTAGAATTGAGCAAATAATTACTTTTTTCTTATCACTTTTTTTCTTCAAAAGACCTTTGCTAATTATTTATATTAGTAAACTTGCTTTGGTCCATTCATACTCATTGTGTAAGCTAATTTCAGAGCCTTATGGAGTAATTTTCAAGACAGTCTGGAAAATAATATTTCTCTTTGTAGTTTTCATTGAACACACCATCTGAAGAATTGTGATGGAACTATGATATTTTTGAAAATACCCAAAGACTGGAATAGAGTAACTTAGTGATTTAACATAAGTAGTGGTTATGTTGTTATTTTTACCAAATTTTTATACTATGTTTCAATTGATATTAACCGTATTGTCATATGTTTAGATACGCTAATAAAAACAGTTCTGAAGGTGGTTAGCATGAGTGAATCTTTAATATTTAAAGAGCTTTACGTCAGTTATCGACAGAGGTATCGAATTTGAGGTTTTGTGTTCCCTCTTCACAATGGTCCAAACTAGGCAATACATACTACTGCCAATGTGTAGAAACAAAGCAAGTAATTGTCAGAGATATGATTTAAATGGCTGAAAATAGTTACTCGGCTAGCGTTCGTTTGACAGTTACTGTCATACCGATGCATAGTGGTTCAAAAGTTCTAAAACATGGCCATAACTAGAAAGATTCATTTTTTCCAAAAAAAAACTTGCAGTGTTTTCGAGGTCGCTGAATCTGTTCTACAAAGACCAAAATGACTGACCCAATAAGGCGGACATGTTTGCAAAAAACTGTTTTGATTGTGCTCAAATTTGAATGTTGTATGTTTTTGATGCTGCTGATAACGAAGTTGATGTCGATTCTTATCGAAAATGAAAATGGCGGATTCAGTATGGCAGACCTCTTTTCAAAAAGATATATGTGAATTGCGTTTGAATTCGAGTTTTTTTACGTTTTAGAAGTCACTGATAACGAACTTAGCGTCGGTTTTCCACAAATCAAAGTTGCTGACGTGTTCGCAAAAAAATGTATTAATCGCACTGAAATTCGGCCAGTTACTACTGGCGTTTTCAAAATCAGCATCAATCTTTAATCATTATCTAAAGAAGTATTCCTTGTCTGTATCCTATGATTCTTCTATGATACTTCATCAATAATTAGGTGTAATGTGTGGTAAGTATAGGAACTTGAAGACTCGGTCAACATGTTGCTTCGTCGAAAACCAAACTTATACCTATGCTCTTGATGATTCTGTTAGTATTTAAATGAAAGCTGTACTTTCGCAGATAGTGTAATTTCCTCTTAATTCATTACTAGATTCTACTTTTTGTGAGCTACGACTTTACGAGTATATTCTTACAACGCACCAAACAAACAAGCCCCTGTAAATGGAAATACCATAAGCTTTTCTGGAAATGCTTCTACACGACGTTACTGTGAAGCAATATTTTAAATTGCTTTCCTGCGACTTGAACTGAGCTGTGTATGGTAATCCATCACAAGTGTTTGCACTAGGTGATTTGTTCGGTGAATGCAGGACTACGCGGTCTTTGTCGGAAATAACGACGTAATCCCATGTAATGAATACTCGTAAACGTCAAGGGTTACTGAGGCAATAACTTATACTATTCCAATCAAGGGACAGGAAGAATAACGTAGTTTGCGCGAAATACGTGATGGTGGTTTAATTCATAGCAAAACTTTCAGCACAACAGTAACATCAAAATGCATTTTTCGTAGCGAATCGGATAGTAATAAATGTTAAAAATCACCAAACCGAACTGGCTTATTCTCATGGATCGAGATGTTAAAAAATCCTAGCTACATCAAAGTGGTAAAAGCCGATTATTGGAAGAAACACTGAGGACAGATTTCACAAAAATTGTTTTATTCAAGTTACTTGTCAGGAAAAAATTATGGAAATCGTATTTAAATGATAAAGTTGTAACACCCAACGAAGGGCATTCAATAGTGTTTGAAAATAAATTTACAGGAAATCATGGAAAGCAATTTTCTGGTATTTTTTTATATCGAAGCAGCCGCGCAGGCAGAAGCCTAAATGCCGGAACACCGCGGCTGCTATGATGATCCCAAAGAAATTTTGTTAATACGATTTTTGAACTGCCTAAGGTTAGTAGAATTGGAAAAATCTTCCTCTTGTAGATTGTTCGACAATCTCGATACCCTCGGGACAAAGGAGCGGTCGTATCGGCCAGTTCTGATGTACGAAGTTCGACACGGTTAGGATGGGACGCCAAAGTCAGGCGGGTCTGCCTGGCAGGCACATCGTGGCGGCGGTCATATGGAAGAGAGCTCTGAGGAGCAAAGCCCGTTGGTGTAGCGCTAGAAAAGAGCTACATCGCCGACGGCCCGCCAGTATCGAAAGGGTCTCGAGACCTAGGCTAGGCCTTATCTGGGCCTTGTATAGAGTGAGAAGGTCATGCGGAGAAAAGTACTCCTTAGCCCTAAACTTTTTCCCAGCAGCTGCTGCTATTGACGAGATGTGTTCGTGCCAGATCAGGTCCTCGGTGATCGTCAAAGTACAGTATTTTTTGTGTTTTGGAAGCATTGAACTGTACAAGATTGTTGCGTCCCCAAGCAGTGATAGCCTCCAGGTCTCTTGTCAGAGAGGAAGTTGTCGCTAGTCTTCTTCCTTCCAGCTCAGCGGCAGAGATCGGCTTGTCACTCTGAATTCCTGCGTGTAGAGTGCTGTCATGAGCGAAGCTGTGGATTGGGTTGATCGTGCAGGAAGGGAGGTCGTTGATATGTAAGAGAAACGGTGTCGGAGCCAAGACCGATCGCTGGGGAATACCCGCGTTGACGTTGTAGGATGAAGAGGAGAACCCGTCAATTACGACGGATATCTTACGGCCAGAGATAAAGTCAGCCACCCATCTGCAAAGCTTTTCTGGAAGGCCATAGGATGGAAGTTTGCTTAAGAGAGCAGCGTGCCTCAGCTGTTCGAACGCTTTCGTGATGTCAAGAGCAACAACGTGAGTCTCACCATAAGACTGGATGAGTTTACTCCACAATTGCGTGACGTAGGCTAGGAGGTCCCCTGTGGATCAAGCTATGACGTTTGATGTAGTCCGGAAGCTCGCGATTTATGCACCTCTCCATCACTTTACTTAA